TTTTCATGATAATTTTCGTGTTCAGGCATTCTAGAATGACTCATATGTCGCATGCACTTTTTGCAGTACACATAACTCTCGGATGAAATCCGAAGTTTCCACATTTATTTAATTACAGACTACACGAAAAAAGCAATGTTTACCCATTACAGACCATAGTAACTAGCTTACGGTAACATTATAGACCATAGAAACTAGTCTCTACCATTGTTAAATATACGAGCTAACAACTAATATTCCACTGACAGGCACAAGCAAATAGGTAATGATCTAAGTATGGGTTTTGGAAATCAAGGTAGACTTTTCAGGTGAGCTATTTTGATTTATTTTAGTAGGTCTACGGGATATATGTGAGTTCCTCATTTTAGCCCCAAAGGGGCTGCGCTAACAAGCTTTTTATATGCACTACAGCAACGATTATTTATCTCTTCTCAATTATTTTTCATGATTAAACTGGTAATAAATCTGTAAAATAAGAATGTGATGCATATCCAATTTTCTTTTTTCTGTGATAAAAAAAATCTTCGCCATAAACAGTGTCGGCATATTGTTTTAAATAATGTCTAGTTATATAACGTCTCATAGATCTCGTCAAAATCTCAATATCTTGTATACCGTATTAATTGATATTGAATTCTTTTCAAATATGTCTGTTTGAGTATAGTCTAATTATAGTACATGCTAAATAACATAAGCCAAAATGGAGAACAGAAAACATGTAAAAAGAAAAACAAGAAAGACATCAAACACTAGAGAAAAACACGAAAGTAGAAAGAAAAGAAAAAAATAGATTTACATTATGATTCTCATTAGATTTTAGACAGCGAACTCTTTCAAGTCACAGAGTACGTAATATGATGTTGTCTAAAGATTTTGTGAAGATTCGATGAGTTTCTTTCAAAGATATATTAGTCTTCTGTTATATTTCTCTAGTTTATGAAGCTATGTCAGATGCAGTATATGATGAAATATAAGATATAGCAAGCGTATTACAGCTGTAAATATTTATTTCACAAGTAATTCGAGCACTTTAAATAATATATATATTTATCTAGCTATAATTGACAGGGAAAAATCTATAAATACACACATATACTGACTATATTAGAAAAAAACTGGAGATATGATATGTGCAATAATCGTATTAGGAACATTAGTTACACTATAAGAACGTTTGCATACCATCTACAGAAGGTGAAAATCAATTAACTTAATGAAAATTTTACATATCGATTTTTATACTTTATTTTTCTATTCGACTTACTTGAAATTATCTTCAGAAAATCTTTTACTTTTTGCCAAAATGTTGTTTCATTTTTGTAAGACTTTCTCTTAGTTTTCTTTTGTAGTTCTTTATAATTACCTCTATGCTTCTAAACAACTATGTATACATTCTAAATGTGAGTTCTATAGTGCAGTGAAATTTTTCAATCTACATAGAGCCGTGTGAGGCGAATCTGGAAAGTTTGTTTTATACTTTTGTCTTTCGTGCTCAATATCTTTTTTACTTTAGACGATAAATAAATGTGGAAACTTCGGATTTCATCCGAGAGTTATGTGTACTGCAAAAAGTGCATGCGACATATGAGTCATTCTAGAATGCCTGAACACGAAAATTATCATGAAAAACTAGACAATTTGATTTCTGGATGGAGTTTTTGTGAATTTTGAGACGTTTTTCAGGCGATGTTTCGTTAGAAAGCTATGACTTAGTTCAAAACTAATATCAGATTTAGAATCAGCGTTAAAAACTGAGTCGATTTATATATGTTGTGAATAATTCTGAGAAAATTTTTTTTTTGAAAAATCCCTGTACTCCCCCTCAGGGATGGTCTGATCAAAAATGACAATTTTTTCGACAACTCAGCCATTTCTTGACGGATCCTTCTCATCTTCGAACTCGACCTAGATATTGATAAGACAATTCTGTGCACAAAATTTCAGCTCAATCGAATGTAATTCTGAAGAGTTATCGAATAAACGGCCGGACACACTGACCGATTCTATAGTGTACTCTTTTTTTTTTGAGTACACAAAAACACTTTTCTTCACAAAGAATGTAGAGTAAACATTTTTCTTTAATTTTTGTTTTTTCAGTTTTTCAAAATCTTGTCGGAGACAGACTCGACGCTAGTTTTCCCAAGAGTCCTAACAGCGTTCTAGATTCGACCCACTTTGGAGTGAATAAAAAATTAATCATCATATAGTGGGACGAACCTAGAATTTCATTAAATTTCAGCATTATCATAAAAAATAAAGTTTTTCATCTATTTTTTATCCGATTTTGTTCATTTTTTCATTAATGTGCGCTTAATTATTTCTCTACAAACATATACCGGTTTTATTGAATAGATCTCCAATGTGTCAAACACTAGATCTTCTTCTGGAAGCATCAAGACAAATGTTTTTGATAGATTCACCTCATATATGGTGCGAATCTAGAACGTTGCTAGTGCTCTTGGGAAAACTAGCGTAGAGTCTATCTCCGACAAGATTTCGAAAAACTGAAAACACAAAATTAAAGAAGAATGTTTGCTCTACATTCTTTGCGAAGAAAAGTTTTTCTATCGTCTAAAGTAAAAAAGATATTGAGTACGAAAGACAAAAGTATAAAAGACTTTCTACATTCGCCCGCATGGCTCTACCCTTGAACTGTTTACTCGTGTACATGCTATTTCATGCGATAAATATATACATAATTACCGCATTCAGTTAGGCTGCCGTGAAATTGAAACCGTATGAAATCATCCGAGATGATTATGCTAAGAAAAGAACGATTATATAGTATGTGACTGTACTTTTACTTTTACATTTACATCTGATTAAAAACCTGGCTAGCGCAGTCCCTTTGCGGCTAAAATGAGGAACTCACATATATCCCGTAGACCTACTAAAATAATTCAAAATAGCTAGCCTGAAAAGTCTACCTTGATTTCCAAAACCCATACTTAGATCATTACCTATTTTCTTGTGCCTGTCAGTGGAATATTAGTTGTTAGCTCGTATATTTAACAATGGTAGAGACTAGTTTCTATGGTCTATAATGTTACCGTAAGCTAGTTACTATGGTNCGCCCCCTAGAGCATGGGCCGCAAAAATCTCGCTTTTAAACTTATACTCACTATTTTCTTCGAAAATATACGTGAGTTTCACGAAATTTGCGCATGATATTCAACTCGTTTAAAAAAACGATTTTTTTCTTGGTGAGATTCGATAATTGACAGCACACAAAATGTGTTTGATGAATATTTTTAAGATTACCATTCTTAATCAGTAGGTATTGTCGGGAAAATAGAATTTGTTCATATGGTTGCCAACGTTTTTGCTGCAGTAATCTATTGCATCGTTCACTAGAATTCATTTTATAGTGAGATGATTTATTTGAAATGAGTTCAATTTGAAACCTTTTTTGATTCAGTTTCAAAATATTTTAATAGAAGATGAATTTTAATTAAGTCTTTAACATATTTATATCTACATTAGTTATTTGATCCCATGCATTGATTTAGATATCATTCTAGAGAAATTCTTTATAAATATCTAGAAAATATTTTATACAAGTTAAGTATAGGCAAAATTTCAAAAACATTTTGCGAAACTTCACCAGTAAAATCTGTCATTAACAAGGAATCAACTACACTCAAAACGCTATTGTTGAATGATAATATCATGTTTTTGGTATGTATATTGTGAAAAGTATCACGTTTCGAAGTTAGTGTTACCAATAATAACATGATTCTAAAGCTATTATTAACTGTTGTCGACTAGGAAAAGTTTATTGAATCATATAGTTGTTTCTTTGTAGCTTAGATTGAAGTTTGCTTTTAATATGTATTAAGTTTATCAGTATATACTGTGAGCTCAAATATTTGTACAGAAAAGCTCTAAGTTATAATGGTCTCTACCCAACAGCTATAGTTAACGTCAATTTTCTTTGGTATGTTAGATGAAAACAGCTATCTTTATGCAGCATCTTATCATGACAAAATACTTAAAAAACCAAAATACATCTATTTTTCTCTCCGATTATACTGTTCAATACTACAGTAGTAGTTGCTAACTAGACTTTTTCACTATTGCAAACACTGTACGAATGTCAATTAAGATAAAGTGTTCGTCAAGAGTCTAAAGTATTGGTCTATATATAGCAGTATTTCGAATAGCTCCTAACTTCGAAAAAAGATAAAACCAATGGAGATCATCACCTCTCATGTGTCTGTATCAGAATCTTGGTAAGGTGCATAGGAAATTAAATGAATTTTGAATGTATTCATAGAAAATATTTAATTAAATATAACTCTTTTATTAGGTACCATTAACAATGACAAATATATCAACAGCAGCAACAAAAACATCGGCCATTAATTTACCGGAAAATTATTATAAATTTCGCAAAATACATAATATTCTGGCTCAAATTTCCCTTCCCTATATCTCCGTTATAGTTTGTCTTGGTCTTATTACTAATACATTAACTATCGTACTTTTATCCAAAGGTTTTGTAACAAAAGATCTTAAACACAAATGGACATTGATTGCATTAGGTGAATATATATCAGGATATTATTAGTTTATATTCCTAATTTAGAGTTTTCTTTATTGCTCTTTGTTTCCATGATTGTCGATTTCTTCGCAGGTCAAAATCGATTGGATATCAATGTGGCCTTTAAGTTAACACAGAAGAAAAAAAAGTTTCACATATTAGATACCAAATATATTGATAGTGTATTTAAGAAACGAACTTTCTAATGTTATTTTCTAAACATAATTGATAACTAGAAACAGAAAAAAAAATAGTAGTCATGTTTTTCTATGATTGTAGTTAATCAAAAATAATATATACATACTGAAAAACAATATTGAAATAATCATATGGAACAATAACTTTTCTTGCGCAAATAAAAACTTCGTATCATACCACTTACTGTAATTATACTATTTGTGCATTAGTAATGAGGTTAGATCGACAAAAACATCTATCACAAATCATTAATATTCCGTTATGCAGTGATTATAGTTTTCTTTTTTATTTTCAATAAATTCGAGTTTTTTCTTCTGCCAAAAAAAACAATTTATTATTAAAAGTGATTTGCCATAAAAATGTTCAATCAATTTAGCATGCATAGTTATCCTTATTTGTATTCGTAGATTAAACATGTTTTGTTTCTCTTCGTTTCAGTCTTACATATTAAAAATAATTTGAAAACCAATCTCCAATAAGATATTTATAATGTCAAACAGTTAATCGAATCTTCTACATTTTAATTCTCATGAAATAATTTGAAAAATATCTTTTTTGCATACACATAAGAATTATGCATGCATGTCAATGACTATACATTATTACTTTTCTATACAACTAATAACTATTGTATGCGTGACAATAACAAACACGTTCATGTAGAAATAAGAAGATTATATTGAGAGTGTGATGTATATCATGCAGCGTTCTTTAAAAACAAAACGTACTGTCATATAGGTATAAGATAATTAAGCTAGATTGTCACAGGATTTTAAAATAATATTCATCTTGTTATAATGAGCTGTACGCGAAAACTTGTTTCAAATATAACTTTTCTAAAAGAATAGACTGTTTGTGCATGAACTTTTTCGATTATTTTATACAAATAGATTTAGAATAAGTATCATTTATAATGAAGTCTATTCTAGTAAAAATTAAATCATTTTTATTTTCTTCTATCTTTTTGTTTAGCTCTCAGTGATCTTGTTCACAATATTGCTTTATTAATTCGAGTTATTCATGATGTCATTGATGGAAAAATTGAATATATTTGCATTGCCATTTCTTTTCTTAGCCATTTAGCTGAATTACTTTCAGCTTGTTTCACCGTTTTATTCACCGTGCAACGTTATGCAGCTGTTCGTTATCCATTACAAGCAGCTTTTCGAACAAGATCATCACCAATTGCTTTTCTCCTGCCAGTTTTTATATGTAGCATAATATTTTGTATTGCATTATCGTATTTCAATTTATACATCCATTGTCATGAAGAATTGAAATTAAGTTGGTTCTTTGCTGATGCATTGTTATCATTTATCATTCCATTTTCACTCATTCTAATATTCAATATATTAATTGTCAATTTAATTCGAAAACATGCACGTTCACCTTTTACTGCACAAGCAACGTTATTACCAGCGAATAGACGTGCCAAAAATAATATACGTTATAAGTTTAGAAAAAATAATCATTCAAAAGAGAGTTTTTCAATAACTGGCTCATATGGTGTTGCACGTACTTCACATGGCCCATTAATTGAAACAGATGTTGATAGAAGATTAAGCTCAAGTATTTCATTGATGAAGAATAATAAAAGTAATACTTCATCAATAAGAATGACACCACGATCACCATGTAGCATTTCAAATGAAACGGAATTTCAAGCAAGTGAACAGTCATTTCCTATAGTATGTATCTTAGCAATAATTAAATAGACTAACTTGGTCGAGACAAATAGAAACAATCTTTTTCGTTTGCATACATCCTTCATAGAAGGCAATTTACAGCTACTGGAGTAACTAAGAGCAAGTGTCTAACTGGAACGCCAGACTATCAATAATAGTTATTATCCTAACAATGGAAAAAAGTAAAAACATAAACATTACAATCTTTGACACTATTTATTGTATAGACTTCTGTCAATATTATGGAGCAGTAACTTTATAACTGATATCCTATGGTTACATCACAAGCTAAAGTCTACTTTTTATGCATAAGTGAGAGTAAAAAGCTGCAACTAGTTTAGGTCGTTGAGGAAGATAGAATAAATAACATTTTTCATATCTTGTATAGTAGAATATTTAGTAATAAATTGATAAATCAATGGTATTTTATAAGGCGACACAAATGAATCGATGCGTATGCCTTTTGCTAAATGAAAATATCCTATAAAAAAGATCGATATGTTAATTAAATATTTTTCTATATTCCGCCATGCATATTTTATTTCAAAAAAATAATAATTATTGTAGCTGTCAGCGTTTTAACTGTCTTAAGCGTTCAAGCGTAAGTGAATTGAAATACATATAGCGTAAACAACAATCTTGAAGCTTATTGGAAACGAAAAAACTAAATGAACTGAAAACAAATGAGAAGGAAATCAAACAAATGTAATTACCGGCTTGATAAAAAATTATGAAAACTACTATTGGATTTCGTATAAAATATGTTGCAGTATTACAGAAAAAAGCTCAATATCAACTAAAAGCAACATGATTCTAGATGATGTTTAAGGAATACATCGGTAGCAGATTCTTTTCTTTAAAAGCATATTTTTAATGATGAAAAATAATTTTTTTCTTTAATAAAAATTTTTATTTAATTTATCGAATCCTTCGAGATTTTCATTTTGAATAAGAATATTAATGAAACCTGTATTTTTTTTTTGTTTAGTTACCACCAGAAAGAGTAAATTCAGATTGTTTACCAAATACTCATTCAGTGTCGACTTCACCCCAAACTAATAAACCAGACCAGGATGTTCAACGAAAAAGCCAACATAGATCTTCGAATATAAATCCTTCACGAAGAGTATCGCATCTATCAAACGATTTAGATTTTATTTCCAATAAAAGTTCACAAGCAACACAATCCATTCGTGTTACACGTATGCTGGTACTTGTTTCTACTTGTTTTCTTATACTTAATGCACCAACACATTTATGTATTATTGCTTTAAAAATTTATACCGGTTTTGATTTTCAAGTCTCTAATGAACATGCAGAGCTTGATAAATTTAGACAAGCAAAAAATTTAACAAGTACTCAATTGCAAAATTTTGTTTTTGTTCAAGAGAAAAATAATAAAATGGTTGAAAACAAACTTGTATTAGACTATGATATGGATATTATTGATGACCCAATAACGGTTCATTTATTCTATACCGCCATTTTATTCACACAATTGATATCATATGCATCTTATTCGATCAATTTTTTTCTTTATTCTTTTAGTGGTGTTGCATTTCGAACACGTCTCAAACAAATTTTTAATAAATTGCGTTGACATTATAGTTTATATTGTAAACTGAATGTCTATTTATTTTTCGTGACAACAATGTAACTCTTTCGTTCGTTTCTGTGTAATAAAATAAATCAAAAATGATGAAAAACTACATAACCTATCAAAATTACAATGACATTCGAAATCGTTTTAAATAATCTATAGAGTATTGTATTCCATGTAAATAATAATAAAGATTTAGCACAGTGATTGTTTATTTATCAGAAAAAAAAAGCCAAAGAACTGAACTATTATTGATACGACTATCATTGTAATATAATTACTTTACTTTAATGCACAATAATGATACGAGACCAATTCACTTCCGATTGGAATTTCCATTTTTAGAAAGTTATTTTTTGAATTAGTTCTCTTAGTAAAGACAAATGCAAAAATGTGTTTTTTTCAAATGACTAAAACCTAAAAATCAATTAATTATCAAATCTTTTTTTTTGACCTGTAGATTTATTGTCCCTATCATATAAGGTTGACATTTTAATTATCAAATCTTCAGTGAATATCTCTCAAACTATCTGGGTAAAGAGTCTAAAAACTTGATGATAAAATTTAAAGTCTATTGTGATGTTCATGGAAATATTTTCAGCAAAATAAAATTGGAAAAATAGGCTTCACACTAAAAAAAGAACTATTTTCTATAGATTCTACCAAACTTTGAAACAAAACTTTTATTTTCCCACTGTTGACAGATTCTACAAAAGAACTTGTACTGTTTGGAATGAATTATAAACTTTGCATTCGATTGCAGAACCCGTTTTTCGTTGGTATGCATGTCTTTTCTCATTCTACTAATGAGAGATAGATTAAATTTTTTCTTTTTGAAAAATACTCATAAAAAATTTTCAATGTAGAATTTATATTCGTAAGAGTTTTCTATCGACTGTAATATTTTGCTGTTGAAAATGCTTCATTAATTCAAAAATTTTTAAAGTACTTAAATATATGTAGTGAAATGATATGTTGCCGTTTATGTCACGTTGCTACTCGTAGTTGATTTACTAATGATTCTTTTGGAAAACAATTTCCCGCGTACTACTTAACATATATGAAACATATAAAGATAATTTTGACGAAAATTTATCATTCCGATTTACAACTAATTTTGATTTTGCTGAATAAATTTCCTAAATAATTCTATATAAACTAATAATATGCACGTAGCTAGATGAATTTTGATTAATATATCAATTTACTTAAAAGAAAATCATATGTTCCCAGTAGAACAGTTTGTTTTGTATAAATACAATGAAAAAAGAACATTATATGCTACAAGCAATACTTCATCGTATGTACATCAGAACAACACAGAAGTATGTTTGTACTCGGTTTTTATTTGATTCTAGCATCTAACATAGGATTTTCATTCTTGCAATAAAGTTTACAAGAAAATTAGATTACATCTAATTGGAAAACAAAATTCATGTACATTGTAAAGCGTTATTCAAGATCTGCAGATATGATGTACTAATACATTTTAACTAATTTATTCGAGTTCTCTAGATTTCTAGACATCCACTGACGTGAGATACAAGTATGGTTGATACTGGTGAACATTTTTGTCTATTGAAAAACTTCTTAAAAGGCTACATTGATACGTCCTTGGCTTGAGTTTTATTTATCGAGATATATATTCAATTGATCCGAACCAATCAAATTTAGGTTTCGGCTAAAATTTTGGTCAAACTTAAAACATGTCATGTTCGGATCAGCTTTACACATAATTAAATGAATCTGAACCTATTAATTCTCCAGAAAAACCTAGTAGTTTTTTCTTCAATTGTAAAAGAACTTGATTATTAGCTAATTAAAAGCCATTTGTAGGTTTTTTCATCTTTCAAACAAAGTCTATCTTACTTGTCTATGCTAACAATATATCATTACAAGTGCATTAACACTATCGTATATGTAATCTTAAATGTGAGAGAGTAGCGATAAGGCAGAAAATAAAAAATTAATTTGACTAATTTCATATTAGATCTCGAGAGAGATCCTATGTTGATGAAATCCAATTGACATACTATAATAATTAGTGAGAAATTATGTATGAATGTACTTGATGTTTGAATAGTATGTCAGCTGCAATCAATCTGTTCTTTGTTCGAAAAAGCCTATTCTTATTGATTTCTTAGATTTTCATCAAATTTATTTAATGAAAAATGAACAGCTACATGATTGTATTTATTAACACACTCGTTCTTTTGTACTGTTTGTGACAGAAAAACCAAAGCGAAGAAAAAACACACATTGAGAAAAGAAAAAGAAATTTAATCACACTACTAAACAGAATATGAATGAGAAACGAAAATAAAACTTCACCTGTACATTCAAATGCACGCTCAATTACACAATTTAATGAAATAAATTAGTATTCTCACATTGAATGACAACAATCAAACGTTTCAAGTTATTATCGTCGGGGTTTCTTCTCTATTGTTTCTGTGCTCTGTCGTCGTCGTCGTCGTTGTTGTTGTCGTTGTTGTTGTTGTTGTTTCAGTTGTGTCTGTTGTGGATGTGGTTTGCGTTACTATATTTTGATCAACTAGTATATGAACAAGCTGGGCTTCGATGACAGGTAATTCAAAATGATGGAAAAAGTATAACATTGAATGAAAAATAAAACAGCAACTTGTTGTCAAAGCTAATCCAGAATATTGACCATTGTAACGAGCATGATATGCATAAAATGCAAAATGATATATATAAAAAAATCTTTAAGATAAAAATGATTAGCACGATTAGTATTTATTTCAAAATGAGAAAAGTAAATCTTACCGAACCCAATGACGTTTACTTATCAACGTATGACAACAAATACTTTCGTATTGGTCCGATATCCATACAATAAGAATAACATAGAAAGCTAAATCAACAAAGAAACAAAAGATATTAGTACAATGTCTAGATTATTGCTAACACCGATTCCATGATTTCAATGTCTAACTTTTTGGAAATTTGCAGTAAAATCAAATTGACAGAAATAGGGGAAAATTTTATGCGCGAATTCAATGACTAATTGTGCCCAGTTTCTGTCTTTGTCGACCAACAGATACCGTTTTCATGTTGCTAAGAATTTATCGAGTATTCCAACCAAAAGTGACATGTAGTTCTTGATTTGGTCAGATGTTACTCAATAGCCTTTTCTAATGACTTTGTCGCAATCCGTAAAACGGCTATAACCAATTATACTCTATATACCCTCTAACAAAATTCTTTTAAATCGTACTATTTTGAAAAAGCATCAAATTAAAAATTAAAATGAAGCAAACTTAGTTACCTGTTGATGCATCATTAAAAAATTCTGACATAATCGCTTCCATACCTTTCAAAAATTAAATCAAACTAATGATTTGTAAGAAGAAGAAAAAGCTATGCTTTTTATACCGATAAGTGCCAAAATGACAGTCAGTAATGGAGCAGCAGGAAATATAACGGATGCGTTATGCTCAATCATACGTAACAGATCAACTAAAATAATACATTAAAATTTCTAGAAAAAAAACAAAATTCAATTTCTTCTTTTTGATTTACCGATGAAAAGAAATATTTGAAAATGTGAATATCGAAGTAACATTGATATACTAATTGTCTAAAAATCAAATTACCATGAATAATAGAACTTATTTGTTTGTTTTTTTATAACTTACAAAAACAATCATGATACATAAAGCAACTGAATAAGTCCACAATCGACGACTTTGCCATGAGCTGACGAAACGAAAATGATCATTTGTCATTACATTTCGAACGTAACCTAAATGATTTTTATACTTGTCGACAAAGCCTATTCAATTTATATTAGTCATTTCATATACCTTTATGAGTTTCTTTTTCGGCCAATTGTTTGATACTAGACATTAGGATTTCTTCATAGCCAATAAAATGATCAAGTATAAATCGACTAAGGCCACCACCGAAGCATGTATTATTTGTTACATCTTGATTAAATAAAACAAATAGAATTATATTTATAATTTATTGATTATGTGCTCTTAAATCATTTGAATTAGATAGAATTTTTTATCTTATGTAAGTAAAAAATAAAATCATACGAAAAAGAAAGTAATGCGGTAGAAAAATGTATTCTCACTCTATGGCATTTATATTGATCACATAAGTTCTTAGCTGTTTTGAATAATTTATTAGTAACATGATTATTGATTGAAGAAATAGTTAAGCTTTTTTTTCAAATAAGCACTACTTTCAAATTAAAAACATAGGAAACTTGTTTTGTTTTGCAAACCCGAAGCTACTTATTGCAAAATATTTGTTATAGAATTTCGTTTAAATTAATTTTATTTTGATTATAGGAAATTTTATCAAATAACATGTAGAAAAGATATCCATTTGATTGTTTTAGATAATAGTAACAAGTAAATTTCAATAGATATTAGCGATTGAGATTTTAATAAAAACAGCAATAAAGTAAATCATCGAATCTACTGATGATGAATTTTTAAGAAAATTTCTGTCTATTCGTATTTTCAAAAGATTCCAAATCTCAACAATATACAGAGTAGATTTCATTTTTGGTGCAATTAATTTTTTATGTTCATGCACCTAGTTCTGCAGAAGTAAACTCGAATAATAAAGCAAAATAGTTATTTCAAATATCCAATCGTTTTCTTCAAGTCAGAATCACCTACGAATCTCTTGAGTTGAATTTCAGCTATTTGGTTATGACTGTGAAGACACGGGATTTTGATGCTATTTTTAGTATGAAGACATGATGTCCTGAGGAACAATCAAACAACATTGAGTTTCGAATTCGAACTTTTCATTTTGCTCTTATTTTATCTATTTCGACATAGTAAATTTGCAAATTGTCGGTATATGTGAATGGTTCATCAAAAGTGTACGATTATCGAAGTTCAATCTTAGAAATAAAAACGATTAGAAGATCTGAAATTTTTACAAAACGTTAGTCTCATTCGCAACAACGTCTGTGAAAATTTTCAAGTCAAATCGTTATTATCTGCCTATTGTTGAGTCGGAGTACGACATTGATGTTATAAGTCCAATAAAAATACTGTTTTCTGATAACAATTATTAGTAGATAGTGCGTACTTTGCTTTAGATTGTCCTATCGGAACAAAGATTACATGACACACTCGAATCTAACTCTGAATCTTTTGAACAATTGGTGAAGTTATTGTCGAAGTTTTATACAAGATGTTTTAGGCCTCATTCACACTGAAAGAAATAAAACAAATTAAGCAAAGTGATTGGTTAATTCACACTTAAGTCATCATTTTTAGACGACTTAGTGGTTAATTCTGTTTTATCTTTTTGGTGGGAATGGGGCCTCATGAATAATGAAATGAATCATAACGATAAAATGATCTATTGAACAGAAGAATCAAATGGAATGAAGAGAATATATGATAGATTAATCAGAGTTTATATGTTTCGAGAAGAAAAATAGTATTTCGATATTATCCTATCATCAATGGATTACTAGGCGATCACGACTGTGTTATTTTGCAATAGCTCAACAGGTACTGTCAACATCAGTAGTCTTAAACAAGCTGGTAAGTACTGTTTGCCTTCAATCATCGATTCAGATATACGGATATATATATATATATTTTTTTTTTTTTTTGAGAAATATAACAGTTTTTTTAAGCTCTTCCTAGGTAAAAGTCATAGCATGAGACCACAAAAAATTAGGGAGACGACTTGTTGTCTTGTAATTAATGATTTTCTATTATTCGAATAAAGCATAAGAAAAAATGGTTTGTTTGTTTTTCTCACCTATTGTGACAAGTAATACTTGAATATTGAGTCTTTGACGAGTTTCTGGTCGTAAACGTAAAAATCCATATTCTAGCGAATATTCAAGAATGTGTTGTTCTTCAATTAATAATTGTTGAAGCCAATCGGCATTAAGTAAATAATCATGTAGAGAATGAAATAGAGAGTCATCCTTGTGCTCGTCATTATCATCGTCATATTGATAACTATTAACGAATGCAGAACTATCATTCATTACTTCAGTAAATGGATCATTTATCAGCAAATTTTTCCATGTTTTTATTGGAGATGTTAATGAAAAATTTATACTCATATTGGCGTAAGATTCTTCTTCTACAGAATTTTCTTTCGGCTCAGTAGAAATATTAGTCACTGGAAGATTCTTTCAAAAAAAACAAAATCAAAAAAATAAATACGTTTGAAAAAACTATTCTATTTACTATTATTAATTGTTTAGATGAATTCAAATATTCTTCATTATTATTACGATTATGAACATAATTATTTTGATATTCCTTAGTATACGATTGTTGTAGATTGTAATTTTTCGGTGGTGTTTCTAAAAATAACTCAACACGAAGAACACCTTCTCTTGGCCATGTTTTATGTAAATGTGATAGACATGTTACAGGTTTTTGATTAAATACAAGATGTAGATAAATAAGTAAGCCAATACAACAAATTGCCTAAAAAATTCAATACAACTATTCTTTAATAAAAAATTGCTTATACATGTATAATGTAAATACCATAACAAGTATCGCAGTTTCTCCTAATCGCCGAACATATTTAGGAATGGCTCGAGCATAAATAACAGCAATACGATAAAATAAGGCTTGAAAAAGTCTTTCCATTGTGTCACCATCGGCGATTTGTGGTGGAATTCTAGGTGTTTGTTGTTGTGTTTGATGCACGGGGGTTATTTGATCTGTAGGAATATCCGACATGACACGCTGATCAAATATCTTTCATAGTTGAAGAAAGTTTAAGGAAAAAATATCTAGAAAAGTTATAAAAATTATTTTTTGTTAATCGATCATTAAAACATGCTTTGTCTTGGATGCATAAAAATAATAAAATGAAATATAGTTTTGAACATGTTTTATTTTAATCAATAGAATACGTCATTTTAATTCAATGATCAATCTTTATGTTGGATCAGAATTATACAATCATAAGTATTATTCCTTGATATTGCGAACTAATAAGTAGATGATGATGTTCTACCGAACGTCAATAATAATTATATGCATATTAAGTTATCAATTTTTTCATTGATATATCAGGAAAAATGAGTTGAATTGATGAATATCATGAATCACCATATCTAAACAAGCAAACAGCAATAGAATAAAAATTTGTTTAATTTAGTCTACATTTTCGAACACAATATTAAACTGTTTGTCGACGAGCAGAATGTTATTTGATTAATTTATTAGAATATTAAATAGTTTTAGTTTTATTGCTCAGTTTTAAAAATCAATTAATTAAACCATTGATTTACTTCTCTTGCTATTTTGCTGTTGAATATTCCTTCTTCATGCGATGTAAATGATCCCCATTAACCTGTGAAGACAATTATTTGATTTTAGTATCGCTATTTTGATAAATTACTAACTGTGCATGATTTAATTCTTTTTTTTTCAAAAGATTATTAATTTTTAGGACCGAACATTAGCATTTAATAAATGTTTGTTCGATACCATTGATGTTTCAAAGAAAAGATAGACACTTGAACAAAAGTATTAGGTATTATTTATTAAAATGACCAAAATAATGAAGTAATACTAGAGAAATAATGACAAATGATCACAAATAAATAAAGTAGATATATTTTTCCTGTAACAAATCGAAAATTTATATCAGTTTGAATAATAAGCGAATAGAAATTATGTCAAAAGATGTCTCTACAATGCTAATCGAAAATTACGATTCTTTACATATAACTATTTAATCATATATAATGAGTTCATTGAGATTCAAACAAAACATCGATGCTTTTGCTTTCTAAATTGACATTGATTAGCTAATTATGAGAGCGCGCATTGCAATCACTCATTGCTGCATGAAATTTATCCGTTTATGAATTTAAGCTTACTGTGGTTTTATCCTGGTGTTGACTCGTCTTCGTTTCGTATCCCCCTACTACACACACAACTATATATATTTCTCATCCGCTGACTTATTTATCTAAATTATTCTTTTTATATTACTAAATTTGATAAACTTTTTAATGGCACCTATAGTGTGAATTAGTAATTCTCCATCATCACACATTCTTCTGTAACTTTTAAAAGTATAGGTTTAACCATGTATTTGAGAAACTGAATTGATTTGTCATCTAAATTGAATAATCAACAACAAGGTGATTATATGATTAGAATCTTTATCAAAAAAAAAACACTACCATTTCCGATTGATACAAGTATGTACAAGTCGATGTTATGAAACACAAAACATGTTACAGATACTTCACCATTACCTATTGAACGCAACATCATTTTTCTCAAATACTACGACGTAACTTTCATATTGTTGATGAGATAAAATAAAAGGTAAATTGTTTATATGGACAAATCTCAATAGTTAATTACTAGAAGAAAAAAAACGCTAGTTCAGAATCACCAAAACAATCTGCAAATACGATTGATCACAGAATAAAGAACAAATATGGATGATAAAGGCTTAAAACGAAATTGATATATTACGTTAAATATTATTTTACGTTTCACATTTCATGTATAGGTGTCTCCTCTTTTTATTCTTCTAGAAAAGATATCTACATACAATGTTACTACTTAAAATTGACTTGTACTTGTCGTAATTTATGATGATAATTAAACTGGGCATTTTTTATTAAAATTATTTTTGAAACTAGTTTACTTTTCGTGTGGTTTCAACGAACGTGTAAGTAGACTTACGAAATTAGTAAAGAGATGATACTTGAACAATATCACTCAATGGTACTGAATGAATTGATCTCAACAGAAACTAAGATACATTCATCGCATGTCATATACGGTCACACTATTTCTATATCAGCTACTCGAAAACTATTCGTAGCACAACATAATAGTCTAAAAGTGTTGAGCAACAAATTGGCAGCTACAATGTTCATTGCCTCCGTGCTGCATTCACTACAGTTCGAGCTAAGAAATACAATCATTATCGTCTAAAACTGACATTGCTTTTTAATTCCTATTTTTTTCAACAGTTTAACAACGACAACGATGAACATGATATTGGGTGTTCTCGTTAAATACAGTTTACGAAGCTGAAGAGTTGCTTGTAGGTATACTACTTTGTTGAATTTTAATGATTTCATTATGGGATTCACATCATATTTAATGTTAAAAAATTATATTTATGAAACAAAGAAATTCGCCAAGTAGTATTCTATGACTACGTCAGAACCTAATAGAATTCCAAATAATGAACGCTATTTATTTAGGAAAATACACAATTTAGACTTTAAAGAAATATTCTACTTTTTTCTACTCATTCTGCAGTTTAGAACTATAGTGGAACGACTTTTTTTGATGCAGTTCTAGGATAGCTTCTTTTTTCTCTTCATTCGTGAAAGAATCCACAATTGATTACATGAATACATTTTTTTTCAAATGGCGACTCAATGCGACATCTACAGAATAACTTCCTATATGTGCTTGTTTCAGAAAATCAATAAATAACAAAAACTAAATAAAAAGTTGAAAAATGTAATTAAAAAAAAATTCATAATACTACATGAAAAGTGTTCAAAAGAGATCACAATTCGTTTAATAATTCTTTATCATTAATCGACATTTGTTTCTGTCTATCTGTCTATTCGTTAGTTTATTTGTTTGTTTATTGATATTTTGTTGCACTGTCAGAAGAAATAGAACGAAGAAAGCACTCATTTTTTTTCTGATTTTTCAGATTCAAACTATTGTGTATTTGTATGTCAATTGCGTAAAGAATGAGTTCTGAACGTTCAATTTCACCCGATCCATTACCAAGATCGCACTCTCATCAAAATGTTGTCGCTGTAGATGGTAAAGAAAGTAATAGTCGCACTGCTCGTCAGTCATCATCGACAGCAACACAAAAGCGTCGTCGAGAGAGTCCAACGTAAAAGAAAAAAAAGATTTTTGTTTTTGAAACATGAAAATTGATTTTGTTTTTATTTTTCAAGCCGTAGTCCAACACCAGTATCACCACGGTCGCCTGTATCACGATCACCAAGTCGCAGTTCGGTTGAAGGTTCAAAATCACCTGCTCCTCGTAAAGACAATCAACGGTCACCATCACCACCTCGTCAATCAAGTTCATCGGTAAAACGACGTCGTCATAAAGATGGCGGCGATTCTGGTCGACATATTTGTGAAATCTGTTCAAACGATGTTGAAGCGGCAAAACGCTTGTTTGGCGTACTTGATAATTGCGATCATATTTTGTAATTTATTTAAAAAGAAACCATAATAGCTCAATAATACAAAGTATAATTTTAGCTGTTATGAATGTATCGTGTCATGGAAACGTTCGAAATATAGCAATGCTGAATCGGAAAGGTACAGATAGCATTTATTAAAAAAAAAGATATTATATAAAAAAAAGCATTGTTTTCAGCTGTCCAGTATGCAAAGTTCGTTCAGCATTTATAACACCAAGTAAACATTGGTATGATAATAAAGATGACAAGTATCGTCTTGTTAAGAAGCATAAAAGTCATTTGAAGTAAGTTTTATTTTTAATCTGCTATTATTTATTACAATGAATTATGAAGTTAGTGAAAGAGAGAAACAATTTAAAACAAAATGAAAATCCAATTAGCCAAAAAAAGAAAATCTTATCGCATATTTATAAATTAAAGATGATAGTTATCTTCACTCTCTCATTCTTCTAGGCCTGTGCCTTTATTCGTCGCTCGAGTTCTTCCTCAGATTAAGTTTATTAATCTTAAACAGATTTACTTTAATTAATATTGATTATTATTTAAACGAGTATCATTTATTTACGCTGGCTTGTTAGAAATATTTATATCCAGTTATCTTTGGCAGATCAAACAAAATATCTTATATATATATTTACTTTTTAATGCCAAAAGATTTTCAATTGTATGTATAGATGTGCTGTGATTTTTATCTTTACCAGTATAAGCTTAAAAAACGTTTGTATACTCTCAAATATTTTCTAATTCTCTTCTTCTTTTCTATTGCATAATTGAATATTTATTCATTTTTTTTAAATTTCAAGGACACTTCCTTGCCGTTATTATCTACGCCATGGCTTCTGTCGTTATTCGGATCGATGCTTCTATGATCATCATGAAGCAGCTAAACAATATCGACAACAACATCAACATTCAAGAGATCGTGATCGTGACAGAGATCGAGACCGTGAACGTGATCGTTATCATAGTTCACATAATGGTAGTCGTTCACACCATTATTCGCCATCACCACCACCACCACCGGCATCATCAAGTCGATATTCATCTTCTCGTTATCGTGAACGGGCCTATTAATATTTGTTTATTTTGATTTGTCATGATTATCATCGAAGATTTTCGCTTAGAAAACTTGATCAACATGATACAGGAAAAAAAGGAACAATAAACAAGAAAATAAATTCATCTTTGTATATGTCATTGATTAAAAATTCATGAAAGAAAAAATGCTTTTGTTTTGTTTTTCCACTATGTGTTTTCTTCTTTTTTTTGTTGCTGTTAACATAATGCCCATTAGAGATTTTCATTTCGTTGTTGTTCTTGTTGTTCGTTCATCTTTTTTTCATTTTTGTCTAATGTCTCTTCTCCCGATTATCATATATATTCATTCGAATCTCGTTGTTCGATGGCACATATGCATTAACCATAAAATCAAAAAAAAAACAATTGTGTTGTTTATTTGTCTTGTAGATAAAATTAGAAAAAAGTGACATCAGGCGATACATCTAAATCATTTGCTTCAGTAACTGCTAATACTAAAGAGACATCAGGATCATGTTCAATGGATAATAAAGGATTTCAAACAAGACATACTTGATACGATTAAATTTTGAATATTGTTATTGATAAAGATACGAAATAACTAACGAGATCGTTGTTTAGTAGAGATTTAAATATAATATTTTAGCGGTAGCTGATGTCGTATGAACAAACTTAGTGCCATGTGGTATGAATAAAATGATTGAGACTGGTAACAGTGAAATAATAATTACTAAAGACGATGTCACTATTCTTAAGCAAATATTGATCATTCATCCTTCTTCAAAAATGAATAGTGTGTAATAGTTCACTAAGAAAATTATAGCTTCATTCCAATATTTATTTGTTAGACTTCTACTCACACAGAATGCCTTGATCAAAGAAGTAGAAGATGACCAAAACATATTTGGGTTTTGAAAAAAGTTGAAAAATTTTCGTATTATATACACAATTTTCAACAACATGGCGAAACTTACATTCATCTACAGGAAGTATTCAAAGAAGAATGAAATAAGCTAAATGATTCTAGTGAATATGAATGTCATTCTGAACGAATCGAAGATTATTCTGTGAGGTATGTTCAGATTTCCGAAAAAGTAAATTTCCGAAATTGACAAATTTCTCTCTCATCATTAAAAGATATACAAGACTGCCAACAGAAATTTCCTTGGAATTTCCGTAACTGCTGTTACACGCGAAAGAAAATTATAAATACCATATTTTCAAATACCTCCCAATAAACTTTCCTGGAAATTTCGGAAATCAGTTTCCCATACACAGAAATTTCTGTATTCACCATAAGTTCCATGTAGTTAACAAAATTACTAGAAATTCGTTTCATTCTAGAGGGTAGGCTCTTTAAATCTATATATAGATCCATCACTGAATCTGTATGATATGAATATCGAAATTATAGTAATTTCCGAAATTTCTAGGAAATTACTTTATTTTGGTTTCTACTCATGGTGAATGATATTGTGGTAGTTTCGAAAGGTTGTGATCGCTTCTAAAAGTTGATTATTTTGTGCCTGAAATTTCCAAAATATGGATATTTAGCTAGGAAATTTCATTTTTGGAAACCTACTCACTGATGCTTTATTTAGGTGGTGTTTTCGGGAAGTTCGGAAATTACTTTATATGGTGTATTCGCTTGGAATTTGTTTGAATGGTGGGATAGAAATTTCTTTTTCAGCTGAGAAATTTACTTTTTCGGAAGTTTGAACATTGCTGCTATTTTATGTATAATCTAGATGGAAAATACAGATATAATTAGTGATCATGCACAAGTGAATCGTACTATAAAAGAAGAACGTCAATGTATATTGAATATCATTAAAGAAATTAAAAAGACGAATTATAATCCATTACTGATACAAAAAAAAACAATATTACCTGATGCTATAGGCGACTTAGCTATAAATTATTTACTGCAAATGAAAATATTAGTTTTAAAAACTGTCGAAAGAGAAGATGTACCATTTATTGCTAAAGTAATTGAAGATTTTTTTTATTGCTCCTGTTAATAAAAACAAATTTATCAATAATAGATGCTAAAATTTAGATACTTGGTTGCAAACCAATTACAAGTTTAGATCATTTTCAACAAGATATGGTGGGCTCAATAGATCTCGTTGAAGAAAAATTACAGCTGGCTCAGATAAAATCGTTACGGTACGTTTTGAAACTATAATAAGATGGCCCTTCTTAAAAAAAAATAACGTTAATCTCCCTAGTTGTTTTGCATAGTAAATTGCAAAGCTTAACAGCTTGGAGTAATCTAATCCTTGTAATGCTCAAGAGGAATTTTTTTATTTATCATTCTATTTTAAGAATCATCCAATTTTAAAGAATACTTTCTCAAATTATAAATACTAACTCATAGAGGTTGTAACAAAGAAAATGCACTCTTTCACATGATGAAATAGATATTGAATTCGTAGATTTTTACGCATAGATGATAGCATAAATTATTTTATTTTTATTATCTTTTGTAGTGAATAATAAAATAATGGTGATAAAAAGTAATAATAAAAGAAAAACGCAGTATATTAATAACTGAGATAGTTTCTCTTCAGTTAATGTCCGTATTTTTTCAAATAGGATTAAAACGTACGTTGAACGGAGTAATGTTTCCCAAGTAAATAACATCATTTCAGAAAAATTTCAACAATGCAGATAGTATATATTCATTCTTTTTATTTTTTATTTTAATAGATTACAAGTGTTGCTCATTCAGATCATTCAGTATCAATGTTATTACGTAGTTCGAGTAAATTAGAATTTGAAGAAGCTGCTCGTTCAGTTCATGATGCTCTTTTTGTCATACGGTATTTTGTGATAGAACGGTTTGTAATTAGAAAAAAACTTTGATTTTTATAGAATCTAAATTATATTTTATGAAGAAAAAATATAACGAATATAACTTCTAATGCGAGATCTTACAGTTCCGTCATCGTCAAGAGATAAAATCCCGGTTCGAGACAAAGCATCGTTTTATTTTCCGTCATCTTCAAGAGATAAAATCCCGGTCCAAGACAAAGCATCACTTTATTTTCCATAGCATCTTTAGCAGTAAGGAGAGCAAGTCTCTAATAGTCATGGAATATATTTGTGTAGGAGCTACTGATAGCAGGATTCAAAATTATCTTTGAGAATTTCTCAGTATAATAATATGAGTAGTACTAAATTATATTTTTGACAAATTCATATAATAGACACCTAAACAGGGTAAACTGATCAAGCTTTCAATTGAAGGAATAGTTGATATTAGAGTTGTGCTGTTTATTGAGGTGTCAAAGAATTGTTTGAGATCTATTATGAGCATAATATATATGTGGCAGGCGAGTTTGGAATTTAGTTGAGTTTGAAGTAGTTTTTTTCTTAATTTTTTTAATAGAATTTTTGTCGAGATCTAACTTTAGAAATTTTTATATTGAGAATTATTCCTTGCATCTTTTTCCAATGAGTTTTTAAATAATTCAACTCTGTCTATCTTTTTAACTATGGGGACATGGGGACATTGAATTTATCTAAGGAATATTTCTTCTCTATTCTATTTTTCTATAATCTATTATCACGAGCAGAAGAAGAAGAAAAAAGAAAAAAATATTTTTTCGATTAATTATTTTTTTCGCGTATTCCAATCTCAACTGAAATTCTCATGTCATCTGTGACACATGTGTATACATATATATATATAGAAAAAGCTCATTAGTTTCTTTAAATCCAAAATTACAATGAAAAAAAAAGATTCAATTAACAAAAATGGCTTAAAAAAAGGAAAACTATGAGTAATTAGTATTAGTATGCGTTAGCAATAGATCCCTGTTAACAAAAAACATTTCTACTCAAAAAGTCAAAGTGAACTAGACAAGTCAAGTCCGGCATGATCCATTGTCTTTTGAATATAGCTATACTTTGCCAGGCATTTTTTTCAGTTCATGTATTTTTTCTATTAATATAATCAAGCGGAAAAAATTGCATGAGAGTTCTATATTCTAGCTCTTCTTGAAATATCTATTGAAAAGAATTTTAATTCTAATCAATTTAGAGAGCACTATGTGCCGGTGAAGCAGTATCCGAAATAGAATTGTCTGTTCACTTTTCTGAGTATGCACAAAGTTTAATCAGGGGTTGATCACTATTGTATACGTGAATTTACTGAAGCACTTGAATTTACTCCATGTAGATTAACTGCAAATGCTGATTGAAATGTTCAAAAAGTAAATTTTAGTTATTCCACATTCTATTGTTGTAATGAAAATTTCTAAAATAGATTCTTATATCAAATATTCTTGAAGAAAATGTTGTTCAACCTATACTATTACCGATGAGTGCTATTCATTTAACGTTTGTTCAATATATGGGTTGTTGCTCTAATAATTTTTATTTGATTTTCTTTTACTCATACGATCAAAAAACAATCAATCGTGTTAATTATGAATTATGATTCTTCTAGAAAAACGGAAATTTATTTTGATGCCATTGGCAATAACAATTTCGAAGGAGTCACATTACATCAAATGATTACATTGAATTAGAACCACTACTTAAAATTAACAAAAGCTAACTAGGACAATTATTCTTTCAAAGAAATAAGCAGTCATCATGAATATACCTTATTCGTGCAAGTCAAAGAGAGATACGATATTCAAACAGCTTGATACAAATTATGTTCAAAGCTAGCCTAATAATATATTTGTTGATGATGTTTCGGTACGAGGAAAGTAAAGTCCATAGCGAGAAAAGTAAAAATTATTCATTTGTAAAGGATCGAAAATTTAAAGTTCAATTATTGTGAAGTAAAATAAGTTGTCATATTTTTAACTGAATAGCAGAAAAGTTATTCGAAAGTGAGATTCATGAATATCATACTTGATGTCTTCGTTACATGATTAATACCTCAGAATAATTAAAATATATTGTCGATCATATGATTGCTGAACAATCTGTGTGCTACTGAAACAGTTCGATTAATTTTTAAAATTGGCGATTTAGTAAGAATTTATCCTTATGATCTTTAGCGCTTGTTATATTTCTACTTAATTTAGATTGCAATGATGCAATTCAATAAGAAATAGAAAAGAATTCTCGGATGATATACATTGGGTATCACTACAGTTCAAATAGCTAATCATTCGATCGAAACTATTATCGAAAAGCAACCAATTGATGTGTATCGCAAATATGTATTATCTGTATGGGTATCATTTTGTTCTTTTTGTCATCTTGGATCATTAGAAACAATCATATATAACAAAAAAAAATGACTTTTTCAGTGAAACACTTATTTGTAAGTTGACTCTGAACAAGACGAAAAGTTCATTCTCTAGTGCAGAACCAAATGTTCTGTTGAATGACACTAATTTGACATATAAGTGTCCTTGTTTTCTAGCTTAATCAGCAAGATTTTATTTTGATTTTGACCGCTGTATTAAAAATTAAAAATTAAAAAAGACAAGCAGTATATTCGATCTGGCTGTTTTTGACTTTACATATCATACAGCCTGTCGGAAAACAATACTACACTATGTAGTTAATATACAATTGAGCATAAAGCAATGCATGACTCTTTCAATAGTTTTAAAAACCAGCAGGGCTCTTGCGTTGTGCGCATAAACTCAGCGGAACACTGCAAATTATTTTCTTTATTGTTATTATTTAATCTTAAAGTATTTCGATTCAATTATTTTAAACTAATATTTATTAATAGACACAAGCAAAAGTATACATGTTAAGCATAAGAAATATGTATTGATTGAATCTTTTACAATTAAAAATAAAAGAAGAATTAGGAATATTATTCTTATTGTTTAATCACCACAATAGACACCACCATCATCCATCATTTTTGATGAAGAATGAGGTAAATTGAGAGATAACGTAACTAGTATCATTTGGTTTTGATCATTACGTGGGCTATTGATTAAAGCGTTTTTTTCAGATAATGCTTTCATTTCGGTATGATATCTATTATTCTCATTAATTCTTAACGAAGGTGACGAGCTTGAAGGATGTTTATGATTATTATCATGATTACAAAATAATGACAACGAAGCATTATTTGAAGGTATTTCTTCGCTAGCAACACTATGTTTGAGATTTTTTCTAATTATTTTTTGACGAGTATTAATCGGCGCTGTTTGTTGTCGGTTTATTTCATGTTCATGATTAAACTTTTGTACATTTCCACTAAGCAATGCATGGTCCATATAGATTCCACTAGGATGAGAACATTTAAGTAAAATTAAATATTCTTGACGGAATGAATCTGATAGAAAAACATATAAAACTGGATTAAGACAATTATTAGCATAACCAATAATTGTTGTTAGATGTGTTAATTCTTTAAGAAAACGCATATTGGTATTCGTTGGTAATATAGAAAAATTTGAGCGTAATGAATATATTAATGGATCAATTGTTATAAATATTTGTAAAAACCAATATGGCAACCAACAAATAAAATAAGCTGCTACAACAGCAAGAACAATTCTTGTAACTTTGCGATGTGAACGTTGTTTTATTCCTGATTTATGTTTTCGACGGATAGTATTAAGACGTATAAGAAGAAGTATATAAAATGTTGTAATCATAGATCCAGGAATAAGAAATCCAAGTAAAAATCCATAATAGGTAAAAAGAATTTCTGGAGGAATTTGAAACTCAACCGATGGGAAGTCAATTACGCATCTAAAGAAAAATGAAAAGATTGCTTTTCCAAAGCAATTCAAATTAGCTTATGATTTCACGATCCTTTTTTTGAAATCATAGCAAAGAATGAATAATGCTGTTTCAGAAAAACTCACAGAATTATCTATTTAAAAAGTTATTTTCGTAGACAGAACTAAATAGAAAGATTAACTTCGAGTAAAATTGGTTTTATTTTCATAAACAAATAAAAGACTATAAACGATTAACATTTTCAATGTGATTTAAATTTTAGAATTTCATATATAATGAAAAACTTTATTTTCTTCAGATCTCAATCTATTTTATTCAATGTTACTCGTTTTTTTCTGGCGTTTTGATCAGGGATCACAGCATAAACAAAAACACCAGTAAGCTTTCTGATATTTTGCTCCCGTTATTCTTGTTTTTCTATATTATTAGATTTTACGAGGAAGAATTCATTGTTTTAAATGAATAAAATTGTTATGGATAATTAAAATTTCGAATTGCATTAGGCTGTTTCTTCATGAAAAGTCTTTAATCTCAATAATCTTCATATCTGTCAATTGTGACATTAAATAAAAAAAAAGAACTGGTGAGGTTTGAAGCTGTAAATTCTTCTACGAGAACTATTATGCCTAATTTGAAAAAGTCTTCTGATGTGCAAAAGATTTAATTCGCTTAAGACAAGCAAAAACAATTTATCTATGAATTATTTCTGCCAGAACAAGATTTTATATTACCGAGTCAATCTTGTTCATTCAAAGCACTTTAAAAAAGTACGATTACCTCAGTAAACCTTAATAAGAAAGACGTATAATTAATGTAACTAGCTTAGACATATGTATATCAATAAAACAATGATATACATGATTTATATATACATATTGAATTTAAACTTACAATATATATATCACTCTGTGTTAATTCAAGAACTGTAAATACTAGAAGCAATAGTAAGTTTGAAAAAAACAATCAGAATTATAAATATATCAATCAATACAAGTAAATAAATCAATGTTGTATAAACATGCATAGTTCATATCCAGGAGACATGCCTTTTCTAAATTATTTATATTCGTCACTTGCCTAAATCCTACATGAATATTCAGGAATACAGAATCAATATTTTGATACTAACATACTGTACATATGTGAGATGATAGAATATGGATACGAAACTTATGTTGTTTCTTGTATTATTTGTGAATATAATTCATTTATAATAGTATCACTAAAATATTTCTATTAACATCGAACTATCGATCAAGGCAGTTATTTTGTATTGAAATAAAAGCAAAAACGAGAGCCTGGAAAAAAAACTTCTCGTAGTCAAACAAATGTGTAGGCATATAGAAATTCGTCACCTATTTTTTAGTGTCAACTGAAGCACATGAAAATAAATTAAAATAGGTCTACGTGACGTTTTAGTTATGGCAATTATGTTTGAAGATATGTATGCATTTAGCAAATTTCCTCAATTGAATGGAGTACTTTTTCTTTGTTCTTATTGATGACAGAAATGGGACTTGCATTTTGTATTTTTTATTATAACTACATTCATGTTCGTAGTTTAACTTAGTGATGTGTAAAGGAATGAAGACGGATTAATACACTTCTTTTGTAACTTTTGTTGTCTACTATAGCTCTTTTTTTGTATAAATACTTTCTATTAAAATTACTAATGCATTTAAGTAAGTCATGTGCAAATAAACTATAATCATTGCTATGATGTTCATTATTAATCTTTTACATTTAGAATCATATTTCAGCTACTTCAAATTCTTTTCCACGCCATCTTAAAAACTTAAACATAAATAAAATTTAGAAAAACTTCTGATCAGTTGTAATTACAGAGCTTATAAAGATTGATTTCTCATAATCTAAATGACTGTATAAATGCGATAGATCTGCAAAGATTTTCCATTAACAAAAGTGTCGAAGCAAAAAAAAACAACCATTATCCACTCGTGTTTCGTACCAATGCATAAGTTATCTGTGTGGATGATTTCAATTAATGTCTAAAATGTTTATCGTTCTCTTTCGGGAGTTCGTGCCAATTTGTTGTAACTTATTATATATGAATATATTCTATATATAGATAAGCATGCAAAATCCTTTTGTGTTAGGATACATCTAGTTTTTTTAAGTTGACACTTTAATAAATGGTTTTATTTATCATAGAATTCAATAGAACTATGGATGGTACTTAGTTTTATTTTTGCCTTAAAGATTTTTTCTTATACGAAAATCGTGTATGTTTAACTAGAGTGCGCTCGCTCAACTCTACGTAGTGCATTTAGTGGGAATTAATTAAAGTAATATAAAAGTTCTAGCTTAACTGCATTGATTTAATCTGATTCATCTGCAGCAAAAGCATCACAAAAAGAATAAGAGACAGCCAAGAATATGATTACTCATTAGATTGATTTCGTCAACAAAAACTAATATATTAATAAGTCTTCTTACTTTTCTACTCGATAACGAAACCAAACAGAATAGTTCTCAGATGTGGCCGTTGCGAATACCCATGTTGGACAAAGAAAAAGAATTGATATAAGCCAACATCCTTAGTAGAAAAATATGAAAACAATAATTGAAGATGTTTCATTTTCTATAGCATACCACCAATAATTATGACACATTTTGTTCTTGTTCGAAATTCAATAGCTAGAACCGGATGACAAACAGCCAGATATCGGTCAAATGATAACACGGCCAATAAAAGTGAACTGGCATACTGATTGATATGAATGAAATTGTAATACATTTTACATAAAATATTTCCAAATATCCATCCATTAGCAAGTATCGTGATTATAAGGAAAGGTACACTCAAAAGAAGTACGAAATCTGCAATAGCTATGTTGAGTAAATAAGTATTGGTCACTGTGCGAAGACGCGACGAACGAAGAATACTAATGATAACAAGACCATTGCCAAAAGTACCAATGAAAAACAAAATTGTATAGAATGGAAGAAAATAATAGGATAAATAATTATTTTGTTTCGTACCAATAAAAAAAGCAGTTGTTGTGTTATTTATCATAAGGTGATCGCTGTCAAACATGGTTCATTTAGTTTTCTTATATTTTGTTTTATATAATATGTTCTGAACATTTAATCGAGAAGAATATTCTTGAGAAGCTCTAGAGAAAAAGGATTAGAAGAGTATAAAAATTCCAAAAGAGAGGACTAATTTTTTTTCTTCGTATTTTTTTCTCTCTCATTTTGTTCTGTACTGGCCGGAATCAAATGCAAACAAGTAAACGAGAATTCTAGAGGTTATAGAAAAAGGAAAGAAAAAGCAGCTACTATTATTGTCATAGTTGAATACTTTGATACGTATTCTAAATGTACTATAATTTACTACTGCTATGATATTAAAGAGTATTTTTCTACTAATTCTTGTTTGAAATATTCATTACCTATAATTTTTCCCTTTAGTTTTTCTTTCATTCCATATCAAATAGTCGACAGAAAAATTTTGATTGTGAACCTCTTCTTGAATGAGGAAGTGTGAATGCAGGAGGTGTAAATACGCTCTTCCTTTTACTGACATAGATTATTCTTGAACGAAAAATATACAATGAGATAATGCACGATCATTAAGCTAAAATGAATTGTTCTTAATACATAATGCTATTTTTGTTACTAAAAAAAAACATTCGAAATAGCCGATAGAAACTCATGAATAGTATCAAATAAATTATATCTCTGGATCTGATATGTACAAATAAGTACAAAAAAGAAAAAATACTAAAAACTTTATGAATTGTTCTAAAAGTTCGATTTTTTAATATGTTGAAGTTAAAAATGGCAAGTTGTCTTCGTCAAAAAATATAAATATTCTAATATGAACAGTGAAAATTTGGTACGCTCAGTGAATGTTATTCATAGTTTTTAAGTTTGCAATGAACGTACATTTTAAAAAAAGTAGTAATATTAACTTCTTGCTTGCAAAGATAAGACTGTAGTCTCAACATTTGCCTCAATTCACTTGTGAACAACTTTAGCATGGGAATTGAGAAAGATTAATGGTAGAACAAACCGTTACGACTAACAAATAAACTAAATTAATACGGCCACTTGTCTATGCATTTTTATCTCGAACTAACAAACTATGAATAGGACTAATTGCTAACAGGAAATTCTTTGTATATACTCTATTCTACATATATGAAAATTGCTCGTGATAAGCTCAAGTTCAATTCTTTCTATAACTATTATTGTTGACTGTAGATAATTTTATACATGAAATGCTAGAAAATAAAAACATGAGTATCAACAACGTGTGTTTTTTCAGAAATAAATGAAATCTATAGCATTTTTTATTTACAAAACTCGAATAAAGTATTCTATTTATAATAAAATAGTCATTTTGTCTTTGATTATGTTTTTTTTTATATATACCAAATTATTGCTATTCATATTAACACACTTGGTTGAAAAGCTCTTGTTATGAAAATAAAATTATTTCATTTTTATATCAAAAATCGTGACGGTCGTGCTTGTATCCTTTTATTTGTTTGAAGATAAAGGCGAATTATATGCGGATCATCATTACAAAATTTAAATGTTGCACGACAATTTCGTTTAATCCAGAAGGCAGTCCGAAAACGTGAAGACATTGTTTCAATATTATTGTCGTTATTATTTGTTAATGTTCGATTGAGAATAAATTGAGCACTAATATTTAACTTCTTTACAAAACATAAATTATTCATTAACAATTGCTCAAGAGAATTAATGAACAAATTTTGATCGACGTATGAAGTAAAAATTGAAAGGCACTGAATATTAGGAAAATAAACAGACAGAAATTGTGAACATAATATGTCAAATGATATACCCATGGAAAGACAGATAAGACGTGTAACAGTCGGGATTGAAGAAAAATTTGTTATACTCCGTTTATCAATTCCAAAAAGCGATATGTGAAGATATTTTAATTTTCTTGTGTATTGTAATAATTCTATAATATCATTTAATGAAATGTAATTAATTGTTAAATATTCAATATTACTGAAATCTTTATTGACCATCAATATTGATGGGAAAAAACTTAATTTATGATGTAATTTCAATTGAACATTGATCAATGTTGGACTTTCAAAAATGAGTTTAATATTTGCTGAAGATAAATTCGCATCCTCAATACATAAACGCGAAAGTTGCGGTGGAAGTTGAACAAGATTATCGAGATTAGATTTTGTTAATGTCAATGTGCGAATGTTAGTAAATTCTTCAAGACATATGGGCGATGACGTCAGCCACAATGATAAAACACGATTCGGAGAATATATTATATTTTGATTCTCGGATGATATATGCAATTGACTATGAAGAATAATGCCATCAATGCGTGTATTTAAATTTGCAAATGAATAAAACAACTCATGCGCCCAAAAAAAATCAAAAATCGAATAGAAAAGTTCCGTAGGGAAATCTTCAAGGCTCGTTGTCATTGGAATATGAATGAAGAGAGGAAAAAAACAAATATGTCGATCTATCTGTTTTGTGCTTACCATGCTAGATAACTGAAATAACATGCTGAATGGTATCCAACAACAAACGCACAAGAAAACAATCGAAGATGGCACTAGCTTTTGCATGAATGATAGATATTAAAATAAATTTTAGTAACATCCTTTTTTTAATTGCTTTACTATTAATCCCAATGTGAGACACTTTAGATTATATGCTACGTGCTTGAATAAAATTTATTTTTTACCTTAAATGGTAGACATAAATACATTCTATTTTAACATCAAGATAATAACCCGAGTCATAGAGTTGAACTAAAAATAAACTGCTTTTAATATATTACACACTTGTTAATTTAACGTATGGACTTTTTAGTATTTAAATGTGAAATATTTCTAAATATTTAATATAATCGCTCGCTGAAAGATTCTGTGATATATTGAGAGCAATGCCTTCGAAAAATTAACCTACTGGCTATTGGCTCCATATACTATATAGTAAGTATCTAGAAGCTCATACATTGATTTAGGTATATGATATATTTAAAATGAAATTAATATTTATTTTTGTGACTGTTGTCGTACTTTTAAAATGAAATTCTAGTTCGTGTACATATGTAACGAATAATTGTGATTTACAGAGCTTAATAAAACAAAAATAATGAATGATATAAACAATAAACAATAAACATTGAAAATTTACAATTAATTATTATTTACAAACAGTAAAAAAAATATTTAGTACTTATCGATCGATCGATAAAGAGGTTAGCATGATAGTCTTAGGTTCATTTCATTAACATAATAACTGCAGCAAAACAAATAATTTCATGTTTCAGTTATGAAAAGATTTAAAATATAGCTCTCAGCTATAAAGTTTCATAAAAAAGAAAAAAAACTGTCTACACTTCTTGAAAAAAATATCTTCATATTCATTCAAATGTTTTTTTTCAATATCACCCTGCTATATTTACAATAGTTGGATTTGTAATGAGCAAAATTCTATCTATCATTGTTCGAATGGATAAGATAAAAGTCAGTAACATTGTCATATGATATTATCTTGCTGAGCAATTTATATATATATATATAATAGTGAATGATACTGAAAATATTTACAAGAATTTCTTTTTTTCAATTGTCTCATTTGAATACAATTTTTCAAGCGAAGCAAGTGACTTAAGTGTACTGTGTATCGCTTAATTGAAATGTATTAAAAAGCGGATATGGATTATGTGGAGATTAGGCAAGAAATGACGAATAAGAAAGCCGATCGTATCTAATTTATCTATGGTAATATTGTAGAATACTTCAGGACGAGAGAAATTCTCTACAATTAATTATGTATCACAAAATGCATTTAGCCATTTGTTTACCATATTCTTGCCAATATGGCTGTCGAATACTTATTATTATTCCTATTGATTATTACTAATGCTAATTTGACGGATCGCATTGGCACGATATAAGATTCCATTATTTTTTTTCTAAAATAATCAGCTATGTATTAAAAACACTATAATCATAATAGAGCCTTATCCAAATTTGAATTGGTGAAATTGAGCACGGAAAGATAAGCATGGGAATGTAAGCACTGGAATAATGAGCACCGATAAAATGAGCACAGGAAAGTTAAGCACGAAGGAAAAAAAACTTATATAGATACAGTATATTGACTGATCCAATAAATTTATTTACATTCTATGACAGGATGTGGGTGCTACTAAAAGGTAAAATAAGAGTAGCACACAGGCACCCAAACTCACAATTAATTACCTGCTCCGTGTTCATTTAGTATGAATCATTAGATTATTCTACAGAATTTGTAGTTCTTATGTTTATGTTATATATGATCTAATTAACATAAATTGGTTTATGTTTATTTTAAGTAACAGATAAAAATTCTTCTAAATATGACAAACTAAGTTGAAAATACTGACATGACCTTTTGGAATTAACCTTGTTCAGCACGTCACATGTGCTCGTTTTTATATCAATTTCATATCATCATATTTTATCATTTGATATGTAACTAGATGGTATTCGAGTTTCACTCGACTACGAAATGCGGTGCGAAGCACACGAGCCGAATTTTCGAAAGTAGCGAGAATAAGATTTAAATAAATGCGAAAACCTCGGATTTAAATCCGAGTGTTATGTGTACTTCAAAGAGTGAAAAGGTATATTCACTTTTTTTTTCTATAAGACATAGATCTCATCAAGATAATCCCTTGTCACTAAATTGCAAGGAGAAAATACAAACGTGCTAAGTTAGCATGGACCACACTGTATGCGACCATATCCGGTGACCACTGACTCTACTCTCCGAGTGATATAATATCTTTAGAAATCACAGAAATTAAGTTCAGATTCGTGTTTAGCTTGGAAAACTGGGCAAGAAGAGTTATTTTTGAATGGATTTGCGCTTGTATCTAGCGGAATTACGATCGTAAGGAACCTCATGAATCT